ACATCATGCTGAAGTTTGTGACAAAGGCGATGGATATCAAGCTTTGAGGTGAAGTCAATTTCACGGCTACTCTTGAAGATCCGATTGAACTCTTGAAAGTATTGAAAGATTTGTGAAGAAGAGTGCTGATGCTGAGTATGATTTCTTGGATTTCTGGGAAGCTAATCAAAAGTTCTTTGCTATGAAGCAAGGAACAACAGAAAACTTGATGCATTTCAAGGAACGATTCTTGAGACAGGCTGAAGTCCTGCAAGATCTATATGACGTGGCCTGGTTCCGACATTTTGCAGTCAAGACAAAAGCGTATGCTGCTATTGCTAGTACCGATACTGCTGCTCAAAACAAGTTCAAGGATGATATCTTTGAAGCCGTTCTTGCAACAGGATTTCTCTTCAACTGCGATCAAACGAGAACAGCTCCTCTGATGCTGGATCTTCAGACAAACTATTGCAGAGAAGTTGATTCTTATCCAAAGACGGTCAGCAAAGCACAAGATATGTTGAAGATTCACATGGATGTGATTAAAACAAAGCAATGAGAATCTTCGTAATGAAAAGATTGATCAAGATGAAATTGATGCTTTACTTGAAGAAGCGGAAGAATTTATTGAAAACTATGGTGATGAACACACCAAAAATGTTGAAGAACAGACAGAAGACAGGAGTGTTGCAAGTATTTATGAACAATTGAGATGGAGAAATGATGATGATAATTCCGATCAAGATCCCAATCCAAATGACAAATATCAGAATGATAAGGATTTAAATGAAAAGATTCAAGAAATTGAAAAAGACATTCAAAAAGACAAGGAAGATGTCAAATCACTTAACGATGAAGAACAAATCGAGGAAACCCGCAAAACATATGAGGAAAATGACGATTTAATTGATCAAATTCAAGATGAAATCAAAGAATGTGAAAATCAAGTCAATGATATTCACGAATTTGTGGCAAATTTGGATGATAATGAGAATGAAAATGATTTGAATGAAATAATTTCAATGAAGGAAAATTCAAGGAAAAGGATTCCAAAAAAAGAGTCAAAATACAATCTACTATTACAACAGGTTGGAAGTGACAAGAAAGCCGAATATGGAAGAGATAAGGCAACTCTGATTGCGCGATTCATGCAACAAATCAAGGATAAAGTTCAAAATGAAGGAGTATCGTTTATCCAACTATACTACCTAAATATGGGACTGAAATTATTGAGAGAAGAAGGTAATAAGGCTGTGATGAAAGAGCTTGACCAATCGATACAAAGGGAATGTTGGGAACCAATTCATGTTGAAGACATGACTGATTTGGAAAAAAGAAGAGCCCAAGATGCTATGATGTTATTAGCAGAGAAAAACACTGGTGAAATAAAAGGGAGATGTGTATACAAAGGAGATGGAACTTGAGAATGGCTTTCTTGAGAGGATACTTCAAGTTGGACTGCAGCATTGGAAGCGATTATGATCACATGTGTAATTGATGCATATGAAGGACGAGATATGATGTCTTTGGATATTCCAAATGCATTTATTCAAACTCAAATGCCAATGGATGCAAAATCAAGAGTCATGATGAAGATCACTGGATTATTGGTCGACATGATGATACGACTGGAGCCAAGGTATCGTGATTATGTTGTAATTGAGAACGGAAAACGAGTGATTTGCATGAGAGCATTACAAGCCATCTACAGGATGTTAGAGGCCTCTATGCTCTGGTACAAAAAGTTGAGGAGAGACATGGGGGAACATGGTTTTATTTTCAATCCATACGATGGATGTATTGCCAACAAGATTGTGAACGGCAAACAGCAAACTATTCGATTTCATGTGGACGATCTATTATCAAGCCACATTGATCCAAAAGTGAATGATGATTTTTGTGAATGGATGAATCAAAAGCATGGTTCAATCAAACCAGTCAAATCCAAGCGAGGAAAAATTCACGAATATTTGGGAATGACCCTAGATTTCAGTAAAAGGGGGGAAGTCAAAGTCCAAATGGATGACTATGTTAATCAAATTGAATGAATTTCCTGTGAAGTTCAAGGAAAATGAAGGGTGTAAGACACCAGCAAGTAACGATTTGCTATCAATCAGAAAAGGAGAAAAATTGAATGATGAGAAACGTGAAAATTTTCATACATTCATTGCCAAAGGATTATTTCTGGATATTGCTCCAACTATTTCAGTACTTCCTACAAGAGTACAGAAACCAAATGAAACTGATTGGAAGAAGCTAGTGAAGCTGATGAATTATCTGAATGGAACAAAGGAAATGCATCTGACGCTGAGTGCAAAAGACTTACCATTTACAAACTTTCAAATGGTATATTGATGCATCATTTGCAGTTCATCCAGATTTCAGAAGTAACACTGGAGGTGTATTGACTATGGGTGAAGGAAGATTACAAATAATCAAGCAGAAGCTGAACAGTCGAAGTTTGACAGAAGCCAAATTGATTGGTGTCAATGATGCTGCGACACAGATATTGTGGACAAAATTGTTTGTGGAAGCACAAGGTTATCCTATTGAAGGGAACATCCTATACCAAGAGTTCTTTTCTATTGGAAAAGAATGGACTTGATAGTGCTGGAAAGCGAAGCCGAGCTTTAAATTTTTGATATTTCTTTATGACTGATCAAGTGAAGAAAGGAAATGTGACTATTGAATATTGTCCGACTGAAAAGATGTGGGGAGATTTCATGAGTAAACCTCTACAGGGACAAAAGTTCTTGGAATTCAGATCTTTGATCCAAGGAAGACAAGATTAGGAACAATGCAATTTCCTCTTATGTTCCGTTGTCATCAACTATGTTAATGAAACGGCAGAAGTGTGTTGGATATATTAGGATTTTCAAAGTACATATTTGGAGAAACAAGAAAAAGAGAATACATGTGAATGATAGAGAAATGATGTCGACTGATACGACTAAAAATGAAGACTGATGCGACTAAAAAATACAATAGCAAGTCAGAAAAGATAATTATTTCTATGGAAATCATCCTGTTGATGATGTAAGAAAGCAAGATTCAAGCAAGAACCAAAGTTGGATACTAATCAAAGTACCGACTACAGTGGAAGGTGAACGGATAAGCAAATTGAACTTGCAGCATATCAGGCTGACGTAGAGAGAATTCTGAGAATTTCCACTGAGCTGGAGAAGAAAGAGTCAAAGTCAAAAGTTGACAGACTGTTCTCACTTTTTATAATATATTGCAAGCAAC